GCCTAGGAGGTTTCTATTGGAGATGATGGGGTGTTTCGGATGCAAGGTCGGTTATGTGTGCCCAATGTAGATGGGTTACGTGAATTGATCCTTGAGGAGGCCACAGTTCGCGGTACTCCATTCATCCGGGTGCTGCTAAGATGTATCAGAATTTGAGATTGCACTATTGGTGGAGAAGAGTGAAGAAAGATATAATGGAGTATGTGGCGCGATGCCTAAATTGTCAGCATGTGAAGTATGAGCATCAGAGGCCTGGCGGTTTACTTCAAAGACTTGAGATTCCCGAGTAGAAATGGGAGCGTGTTACCTTGGACTTCATTGGTAAGCTCCCATGGACTTCGAGAAATTTGATGCAGTTTGGGTGATTGTGGATCAATTAACCAAGTCTGCACATTTTATTTCGATTGTGACTACCTATTCTTCAGAGCGGTTGGTTGAGATCTATACCCACGAGATTGTCCGTCTTCACAGTGTGTCGATGCCTATTATTTCTGATCGAGGCACGCAGTTCACATCGCATTTCTGGAGGATCGTATAGCACGAATAGGCATACCGGTTGAGTTGAGTACAACATTTCAACCCCAGACGGACGGACGGACAGTCCGAGCGCACCATTCAGATATCAGTTGATATGATTCGTGCTTGTGTTATAGATTTCGGGGGTTCTTGGGATCAGTTCTTGCTGCTTGTAAAGTTTGCCTACAACAACAGCTACCAATCAATTATTCAGATGGCTCCTTATGAGGCCCTGTATGGGAGACGATGCCTCTCTCCGATTGGTTGGTTTGAACCAGGTGAGGCTAGGTTGTTAGGCACAGATTTGATTCGAGATGTCTTAGATAAAGTCAAGAGAATGAAGATGATCGTAAAGAGAGAAACTAGAGAGAGGAAGGAGAGAACTTATTAATCTGAACTAATTTTGAAAATACAATCACTAACTAATATAACAAATTTCCAAACTTTACAATAGCAAAGGAGTGGTGTGTAATGACTAAAGTACTCCTCACTCAATGGGTCGCAAATCATAGCTGGCTGCATCTCAAATAAAGGAGGAAGATAATATGTTGAAAGTCAATGTAAAAATAATCCAAGTATTATAAATTGTCTGAATCGGGAAAAGCCAGAAGATTTATATATATCAATTCTGACTAATTAAGATTGAAGCGTCCATAATTAATTGATTAATATCCTATATATCCAAACATGTACGACGAATTTGGACCTATGAATTGGAAATAAAAAAAGACTTAACCATGGATCAGCAAATCAAATTAGATGTATGGATCATTAGTTCTAGGCTTCTAGCCGAACATTTAGCTGTGGCTCGCTATGGTGTTGCAAATTTACCAAAGCTACCAAAACTCTCTCTCCCCATGGGCCTCTTCGGCAGGAACAGAGTCCTTAATTTCTTTCAAGTCCTCAGGCATAATCCTATCAGATAAATATCCACTGTTGTCATCTAGGTTCTTAACTTTGGTTATTCCTGTTAAGCAGAAATGATATGGAAAATAGAAACTAATACTCCATAATAAGATATATAAATGTTGATCAAGTTTGCAAACAAAGATCGAAACTATCTTTGTTCCATTACCGATATTAGTAATATCAAGAATCCTTAATACGTTGAGATACATGCTACACTTCATCACATTTGAATGCTGCTGGAATGTGAGGGATCGTTGGAACGAAATGGGCCTGAATAAAACGAAATGAATATGAAGAAAGGATTCCATTACATTTGAATGCATGTTTTTAACCCTTCTTTGTTACTTTCTTCCACAAACCTCATGTATTGAATAATCGTCCAATCAAGTTTAATGATGTGATTTGTAGTTGTTACCAGAAGAAAAGTTTAAAGATGTGAAGAACAAGATAGGAGCCAAGTCAGAGCAAATTGAGCAGGAGTAGAATCACAATTTGCAGCTAAGTTGGCAACAAGTGCATAGAAAGCTTTATTCTTCTGTAAATTCTACGTGCTGAACCTTGGAACATAGTCTGAACGTAAGATCAAACAAGTAAGCATATCTTTAAGCAAAACTTCAGCTTTTTTAGCACCACAATTCGCATCCTCCTTCAAACATTATCTAGTTTAAATAGCTTCTGTGCATTCTTGCTGAACAAATTTCCCTATGATTTATCTGGGATGTAGCTCATAAACAAGACAAGTTATGGATAAGATGGATCCATACATACTACATCGAAGGACAACAACTGGACGGTCCTAAAATACCACCACAATTATGTTGGATGGTGAGGAAAATATTGGAAGCAAGAGATATATCACTGATCAAGTACAAAGCAGCTTAACACAGAGAAAGAGCTTAATTAGACAGATCTATCTACAACTACTTGGAACCTCCCTTAGAGTACCCTTGAAATGTATGATGTTCAGCAATGATGCACGGCCAAAGGCCAAGTTCACAATGTGGTTGCACCTTCAGGGTAAACTAACAACTACCGACAGACTGCTTAAATGGGGAATTAATGTTGATCCACTATGTGTGTATTGTAAGGGGCATTGTGAAACAAAGGAGCTCTTATGCTCAAGGATTATGGACTAGACTACTATACTGGATGCACATACTAAGTTATTCAATCTGCACATGGGATTCCCACCTGCAATGGACCATCAAGAATGGTAAAGGGCACTCAAAAGTAGCTCAGATATTCAGGTTGATGTATGCTGAAGCAGTCCATGCCATTTGGATGGAGAGAAACCAAAGGATATTTCAACAAAAAGAGAAGAGACTGGAACAGCATTGCTAGGGAGGTGACTTGCATATGCAATATTCGAGCAAGTGTAAAGATCAAAAGTCTACTACAGCCCTTCATGTTCTAGTTTATGGGGTCAAGTGCTATATGGTTATAATGGTTTTCTGCTACTCTATGCTTTCTTAGGGCCTTGTAATTACCTACTTAGAAGAAAGACATAGAGTTTGGGTACTTCTAGTAGATGGATTAGATAGCTGGATGAGTTTGTCTGAGCTATGGGTATGCAAATATTCTCTTGGTGATTATTAAAGTTTCTAATTACCCAAAAAAAAAAAGGTTCCCCTATGTCTTGAGAACAACAACAACATAACCAATAATACCTCACACCGTGGGGTCTGGGGAGGGTAGTGTATAGGTAAACCTTACCCCTACCTTGTGAGGATAGAAAGGCTGTTTCCAATAGACCCCCTATGTCTTGAGAATTTACGTCACATAAAAGGTCCGTGAATCGAATATGCAAGAAATATGTGATCAATTTGAAGAAACTCAAGTAACTGTATAAATAAGCAAAACTCATTTAGGCAACACAAGTAGTATTCACCGCTGCCAACAAGAAGAATATGAAAAGATCCATGAATCAAGCCCGCAAACAATATGTTTGAAGCAACTAGAACTTGAAGCTTCCAATAAGAGGAATTGTTGGAAAGATTACCAGCTGACTCTCCCTAGGCAAGCTTTCTGTCACAGCCTTCCTACCGAAAAAACACCAGGAGAGCTGTATGCCACCTACCCTGACACCTAGCTCCCTGTACTGAAGATATAACAAATAACACGTTACCACACAGAAAGAAATTTACATTATTCTGTAGCTACTTCTAAATGAAATTCTATTCTTGCTGAAAGACTCAATAATGTTTTCTGCAAAACATAATATATGAGGCACACTAAGGAAATTCACAATCTTTCTCAAAAAATAGCAGAATTCTGACAACTTTTGAAACTTCAGATGCCAAGTCCTAAAATCAGACAGTTAGTATTTCATCAATCAAAGCTCAAACATGTCAGTCATACATGTCCTTCCAACCATGATCTCTTTATTAATGAAAGGCTCAAGTATGGAACTGTTCTGATAGACAACTAGTCCATGTTCACACATGTCCAACCAGTCTGTCATTTAAATGATCCTTTTTTCAACTGAATACTGCTCTTCCGAGCTTTTTTATCATCCAAACATTTCCACTATTTGCTTCAATATTAATTACAGCCTAAAGAGTTTTAATACTGAAACTCTAGGCAGACAGATAGTGCACAACCCCAAAAATCCATGTCAATTCCAATCATTCTGAGAGTGCTTCTTTGACAGAACACAGCTGACTACAGAAATTGAGTGTTTGGTCTAAGTGCTTTATTGAACAGCTTGTGAGTATTGTTTTTCCAAAGTTTCTTGCAGTATCAATTGACTCAAGAAATCAAATTGAAATTACCACTTCGGCCTTTTCCCTTGTTCTGTTCTAGATTTGATTGAGTTTAAAAAGTTAGAAGACCTGTCTAGCACCAGCCCAGTTCCCTTCCCTTTCTTTCCTCTGCTTAGAAGAGCTGTTGGATTGCATACAGAGCCTCAAAAGAGGGCTCAGAAACAGCTTCTATTTTACCCAAGATTCCAAGTCCTTCTACTCTCTTCTACTCTCTTCCTTGACTAGTCGTAATCAAGCCATTTCAATCGTCAATCTCATTACCAAATTCATTGCTGAAAAACTCCATTTGATGCAACAAAGAGGAAACAAGAAAAACAGTGAAGAATTCTAGCATAACAGTAATAAAAAGTAATGGAGACTACAAGATTTCTGTTGCAGTGTAAACAGCTGTAGGTAGGAAACCTAGTCTAATAATCAATAAAGAAATTCAAAAGAACAGCTACAGTAAAAACCAAAGACCAGTAAATCATTGAAAAGAATGTCAAAGCAGACAATAGGCTCTACACAATATAACATCATTTGCCATGAAAATACAAGAATACATCACATAATGATCATAACATCCAACCAAAGACCACACAGCAAAAGCGCTTACAATAGCTTAAAATAACCTGCCAATTCGTATGCCAGTAGCACTTGTCATGTATGAACATGACATCTGCTCATATAATAAAACTAAATAATCAGATGTCACAATAACACCTGATAATGACCTCATATTCATATGAGAATCTCAAGGCAATCAGTCAAATCAGACAAGTTGTCATTCACAAAGAAAAGCATGGAATTGCAATTTCAAGAACTGAAAAGATCTGTAATCAAAACTGCGGGTAGTTATAGCCCTTTTTCATTTATAACCATTCAATAACAAACTACAAAGGGTATTTTTATATTACATAAAGGAAGTCTCACTCATTTCTCCTAATCCTTCAGGAAAACAAAAGCTCCATTTTTACATCTAAAACTCCTGGGATGCAGAGCCAATATCACCCTTTCCAGAGCCAGATTTCTTAGGCAAAAGATTCTGGTGAATGTTGGGCAGAACACCTCCATTGGCAATAGTAACTTGACCCAAAAGCTTGCTCAGCTCCTCATCATTCCTCACAGCCAACTGAATGTGCCTTGGCACTATACGATTCTTCTTGTTGTCCCTTGCTGCATTCCCTGCCAACTCCAACACCTATTATCATCACAAACATTACATAGTCAGAGTCTATAAGCACTTAGATTAACATGTTCCAATAAAGTCAACAAAAAATTATCATTATTTAGCATTTAAAAATAACCATTATCACAAACATTGCTTGCTTGCTTTAAATGATGGATTCAGAAACCAACTAGAATCAAGGAATTTCTCAAGTTCAAACACAACAAAAAATGTTGACATTATTTCTCTGTCGTTTAAGATTATTAAAAAGGAAAACTTGGGTGCATGGATTGGAAAATAAGTGTTTGATAGATTTAAATCATTTTTTGGGCAACAACTGGACACAACATAAATTATTTAGGAAATTTTACATTTTATGCCGTGTACAATTTATTAGTAAATTTGGGACTTAATTAGTTAGTAATATTTCACAAATTACTAAGCTAAACGAGATATCTTTAACATGCAGAAAGCTTGAACATAAACATAGCTATATACACGTCACAACCAAAGGTCTTTTTAAAGGAAAAGATATTTAAATTTAGTTTAGGAAAACTTCATAGTTTATGCAGTATAAAATATATTAGAAACAGTGTGAAACTTTATTACTCACAATAAATCGTTTAAATTACATCAAAAATCTAGGTTTAATTAGTTTTCCCTAACTTGCAGGGAGTTTGAACATATAAATAGATACATGCATATCAAAAACAGTACAGTGCTCCAACATTTCAACATAAATCAAACTCCGAATTACATCAAAAGCAAATAACAAAATAAATCACAAACTAAAACAGGAAAAAATTACCTCAGCAGCGAGATATTCAAGGACAGCAGAAAGGTACACTGGAGCACCAGCACCGACACGTTCAGCATACTTTCCAGCCTTAAGAAAACGGGCGATCCTACCAACGGGGAACTGAAGACCGGCTTTTGAAGATCGAGAAACCGATTTCGACGCCTTTGGTTTTCCTCTTCCGGCGCCGCCTTTACCTGCTCCTCCACCTGAACTCATTGTTCTTTTTACAAAGGTACGAAAACCCTAAGCGTAACCCTAGATTTGAAAGTGTAGCGAGAGGGTAGAATGGTGGGGAAATGTGATACTGAGGAATGAGGAAGTAATGTTGGGAATGTATAGGAGCGTATGGTGTGTTCTGATTGGTTGGAATTAAGGTCACGGGGATTGATGACGTGGTGTTGGCGGTACTTTTTAATTTTGGAGTACCCTCCAATATTTTCCTCCGCCACGTATCAATTAGTGGCATTTCCTTGTCTACTTTTCACGAAATTTTGAGTAGTGGCTTTTGTTGTCTATTTTTCTCAAAGTTGATCCAATGAGATGATATTCGAGTTCTTTTAAAAATTACTTAAATTCCAATCTTATGACTAAATTAACCGTGTCTGTGTTAGCGATATAAAATTAATTTTTATTATTACTATTTTGAGTTAAATTTGAATTATGTTATAAATAATTATTCCTTTCGTTTCAATTTAAATGACAAGCTTTAAATAATTACTCCCTCTGTTTCAATTTAAATGACACGATTTTCTTATTAGCTTATTCCAAAAAACACTACATATTTCTATATATGAAAACAATTTAACTTTAAACTTTTCATTTTACTCACTTTATCCTTAATGAAAAGCTTTTATAGTCACATAAATATCATGGCCCCACAAAGTTTTTGCCACTTAAGCTTTTAGGATCACATGTTTCAAAAGTCTTCTTTTTTTCCTTAAAATTTATGTCTATCAAACTGCATCATCTAAATTAAAACGGATGGAGTATCTAATAGTGGATGAACTTCTAAAGAGTAACTCTCATTGCGCTTCTCAATCGTACGCATAACTGATATTACTCATCCCTATTATATTATAACTCTTACCCCCAACGTGATCTCAAATGCTCAATGTCATGTTTATGGCATTCTTTTCGTATTCTTCCATGTAATACTATAAATAGAGGATGAGAAGTCATTTTGTAATACACTTGAAAATACATGGAAGAAACAATAAAGTTCTCTCTTCTATGCTTTTTTTATCTTTGCTACTATTTTTATATTAATTTCTTAACACGTTATTGGCACGAGCCTCTAGCCAAAGTTTTTATAATTTTCAAATTTGGAGGTTGCACCTAGTGTAGAACCTCTCTGCTACACAGGTTAACCAGTGTCACAACCCAATTTTCACTATAGGCCGTGATGGCGCCCAACGTTGCCGCTAGGAAAGCCAATGATTAACTATCCATGTAATTACTCATTTAGTATTTTTAAAGTCATTGATTTTATTTAATAAGGCAACGATGAATAGATGATAGTAGTAAAGCATGAAATAAACGAAAGAGTGATGTAGTGAATTTAATAATCAAAACCATAAAATATCTACTAGAATCTCCCAAAAATTGGACGTCACAAATGCATGAGAAAACTAGAAGAATATACAAAACTTCTTATACTATTATCTGGAGATAGAAAAATAAATACACCAAGAAGAAACTATGGGCGCTGCAAAACGGGCATAGAAAGCAGCTCACCACTAAGTCACCGGGTAGCGGGGGTACGCGCCTGAATGGCCGCTAGATGCACCTGCTTCAGATCCTGCACGATTAGTGCAGAAGTGTAGCGTGAGTACATAAACAACATGTACCCAGTAAATATCTAGTCTAACCTCGAAGAAGTAGTAACGAGGGGTCGACATCGACACTTACTAAGAGTCAATAAATAAAGTGCAGAAATTATAAATAGGCACGGAATACATCAATAATAACAAAATAATGAATAATAAATTAGTGGTTCTTAAACTAAATATTAATCAAAAAATCTCCAACAATCACATACTAACTTCAGCGAATAAGAGCCATCAAGTAATTATAAATTCTCAAGTCTTGAAAGAAATATCAAGTATAATCGGACTCCGAGCACTATCACGCACGATTTATGTCGAGGTTGTACGACCCGATCCAGAATAATATGTACACTGCCCAGGGTCAACCGACGCGAACCATAGATGCATCTATTATACTACCGAGGCGTTCGAGAAATCCACATGAAGAGAAAATACTCTACGAACTCCGATTAACGGCTACTACAAGAATAATACCCAAGGAAGCATAATTCCAATTAACGGTCAAGTAACCCGCCAAAACTCGAAATAATGAAGCTCGGTCTTCACAAATCCTTTATAATTTCAAATATAATTTTAGTAATAAAACTAACAAGTTGAGTACAAATAATACATAGTAGAGTCTGAAAACTACCCGGACATAAGCATGATTTTTAGCTACATGCGGACTCTCGTCACATCGTGCGCACGTAGCACCCACAAGGTTAGGTAATAGATTTACCTCATTTTCAAGTCTTCTTTCCTATCCACAATTCACACTAAAAGCCTCAAATTGGTGCCACGCAATCCAAAACTAGTCAAATATTATATAAATTAATCAATATATGCTCAAAAGTTTATAATTTAACTATTAGAGTAATTACCCAATCCAAATTGAAAGATTCCTAAAATTTCCCCTCGGACATACGTGCCCGAAATTCAAAAAAATTTATAAATAAAAGTTACCCATAACCTCACGAACACTATATATAATTTCTACTCAATTCCATAATTATTTTTCTGGTCTAATCCCATTTTTATCGAAACCTAGATTTTTCAACTAAATCTTAAAATTTCCATAATTTACATGTTAAAATCTACTCATACTCTATGTATTAAACTCACATTGGGTAGGAATTACTTACTTTATGATGCTAGATGAAAATTTTCTTTCCAAGAGCTCCAAAATCGGCTAAGGGAAATGAAAATGAGAGAAAATGGTCAAATCCCATTTTTAAAACAAGTCTCTTACCAGGCATTCCTTCTTTGCGATCGCAAAAAGGGCCCCGCGATCGTGAAGGCAAAATTCTTCCACGCCCAGAAAACATTCTTTGCGAACGCGACAAGAGCCTCGCGATCGCGAAGGCTATCCTTTCCTACCCTTCGCAAACGCAAAGAGTACTAGCCTGACCCCTCCCAGCTGGCCAACTTCCCAAACGTGAAAGCATGAGCGCGAACGCGAAGGCCAATGTCCCAGAGCTCCGCGAACGCGAACCCATTCTCATGTACGCATTGGGAAAAAATGCCAAAAGTCTCATTCCTTCATCGCGAACGTGACCAGTGTTACGCGTTAGCGAAGAAAGAAACCAGGACAACAAATTTCTAGTGTTTCCCACTTAGCTCCGGGCGGTCCGAAACACACCCGAGCCACCCAAGACCCCATTCAAATGCACCGACAAGTCCATAGACATAATACGGACCTGTTTGAACTCTTGAAACACGTAAAACAACATCGAAACTAAGAACCGCGCCCCAAAACCAGTCAAATTAACTTATGAACTTCAAACTTCAACTAGCTCCGAACGCATCGAATCATACTTAGACAACTCGAAATGACACCAAATTTTGCATACAAGTTATAAATCACTACACGGACCTATTCCAAGATCGAAATCCCAAAGTCTACTCCAAATCAAATTTAAAGAACTAGAAAGCTTCCAATGAACCAACTTTCAACATTAAGTGCCGAAACGCTTTCGGATCACCCCGAAACCCAATCCGAACACACACCCAAGTCCAAAATCATCATACGAACCTATTGGAATCATCAAATCTTGGTTTCGAGGTCGTTTACTAAAAGTATTGACTCAAGTCAAATTGGCCATCTTAGGCCATTATTAAGGAACCAAGTATTCTGATTTCCACCCGAACTCTTCCAAACCCAAGTCAACCATCCCCGCAAGTCATAAAATAGTAAAGGTACCTACGAGGAGTCTTAATTAGGGGAACAAAGATCTAGAAATAAAACGGCCGGCGGGATTGTTACATTATTCACCTCTTAAACAAATATTCGTCCTCGAACGGTCTAGAATCATACCTAAAGTGTGTGGATATCTGCTCCAAATGTCCTCCTCGGTCTCCCATGTCACTTCCTTGACTGGTTGACCCCTCCATTGGACCTTTACTGTAGAAATCTTCTTAGACCTCAACTGGCGAACCTGCATGTCAACAATGGCAACTAGCTCCTTCTCATAACCCAAGCTCTCATCTAGCTGAACCGTGTTGTAGTCTAACACATGTGACCTGTCGGCATGATACTTTCGGAGCATAGACATGTGAGAAATCGGATGAACTACCGATAGACCGGGAGGCAAAGAAAGTTCATAAGCAACCTCCCCAACTCGCCTCAACACCTTAAATAGGCTAGTAAATGTTGGGCTCAGCTTGCGCTTCTTCCTGAACCTTATGATTCCCTTTATCAGCGAGACTTTCAAGAGAACCTTCTCGCCCACCAAAAAATGATAAATCACATGCCTTCTAATTTGCGTAACTCTTCTGTCTGGACTGTGCTATGTGAAGTCTCTCCTTAATCAACTTTACCTTTTCCAATGCATCCTTCAATAAATCAGTGCCATATAACCTAGCCTCGCCGGGCTCAAACCATCCGATGCACGAATGACATTGCCGACCATATAAAGCCTCAAATTGAGCCATCTCTATGTTGGACTGATAATTGTTGTTACAAGCAAACTCAGCCAAAGGCAAGAATCGATCCCACTGCCCTCCAAAGTCAATCACACATGCTCTGAGCATATCCTCCAGGATCTAAACTGTCCGCTCCGACTTCCAGTCGGTCTGCGAATGAAAGGTTGTGTTGAGCTCTACACGGGTACCCAACTTGTAACAACCCGGCCGGTCGTTTTGAGAATTTAAGCTCCGTTCGGTAGCTTAAGGTCTTGAACAGCTTCATAATATATGTATCAACTTGCGTGCATGGTTGAATTCAGTTAACGGATGATTCAGAATCAAATTGGAAGAAGGAAACTAGTTTTGAAAGTTTAAACGGTGAGAATTTGACCGGAATTGGACTTTTGAGTAAACGGCCCCAGAAGGGTTTTTGGGTGATCACAACAGCTTCATATGGTGATTTTGGACTTAGGCGTGCATCCGGATTCGGATTTGGAGATCCGTAGGGTAATTTGAGGCGTTTTGGCGAAGTTTGGAAAATGGAGAAGTTTGACCCATAGTTGACTTTTGCGATATCGGGGTCGGAATGCGATTTCGAGAGTTGGA